AACTTAAAACTAAGACGCACGCATCCCTCGTCGTCCATCGGTGGCCCGCTGGGGGCCCAATAGTTTACTTATCAACTAATTGTACCTACAGTTCAATTTAGACCGTGAAATAAAGAAAGTAAAGAAATTTGCACAGTCTATACTGAACTGTAGGTTGCGTAGTTCTTAGCTTGATATCGTTTTACAAACATTACAGTTTGTAAAACGATATCAATTACCAAGACCCACCACGTGGAGGTGACTACGCACGGGTCTCATTATAATGTATTGCAAATCAGTACTTTTTCATATATTTATCACACAGGTCACAACTTGTATTGAATTTAATTAATTTCCTAGAGATAGAGAAATGGTATTCGTAAACTAAGACATAATTGTTTGCTTAATAACTAATTTAAGATGTTGAAAAAGTATTCTTGTTTGACAAATTAATAGGACTGAATTATTTTCCAAATTATAGATTCAAAGAGAAATTCTGGAAGTTTCTAATACTATTTAAATAGCAATAGTATCGTTAAACTAATATTATGTATATACATCCAAAAATATGACGGTAATTGTTAATGAATGTAACTATCAAAATATATGTTGTACGAGTATAATACGAGTACATAGTGACAATTGAACTGGTATTCAAGTTTAAATAATCATGATGATATTAAAAATAATTAATTAATTATAAAAGTAATTAAAATAATTCGTCAATGATGCGAAGCAGTTAATTAAAGTTTGTTAGAAATGTATTAGTGGCTCGATTACTACAAATGATTAATTAAAAATAGTACTTAGAAATGTTATAGAAGAGAATTTATTGTTTAATTGTTACAAATAAATTATTTGAAATATTAGGTAATGTTTAAACAATATAAAGAATATTCAGAAATATTATTCAAAAACTCACTTCTAAATTTTGATCGATGTGCACACGACGAAAGTTCAGTTGATAATGAGCCTCCGTACCGCTGAAGGTTAATTTAATATTTCGGTCGTCAGTGACCCGGAACTGTTGATAATTTTTTTTTAATATTTCGAGAAACAGTTCTTCTGTTATACTAATCAATAGTTTTTAGATTTCTATCGCAAGGTTACACTTTCATAAATATGTTATAATGTCAAACGTAATAATTTATTAATTTTTTTATCTATAACTGGCTAAAACTAAATTTACACTTTCATAATATTAATTTTTAAGTTATAACTGCATTGATGTATATTAAATAGAAATTTATGTAGAGGAAAGTTATGTAGTAAAAAATCGAGTTAAACAATAATCGTTTCTTCTGAATAACATATAAGCGCAACATATAAAAATTTTTGCTCGTTTATTGTTTCAGACAGCAGGAAATATATGTATTATGTAACTATCTTTTCCGTTATTGTAAATAAAATAATTCAATTATTATAAATGAATTATTCAAATTATGAAATAATGCTTTCAATTGTTATAAATAAAGTTAATTTTTTAAATAATATACAAAAATAGCATCGAAATGCATTATTTTACAATTTGAATAATTCATTTGAAACAATTAAATTATTTTATTTGTTTAATATTTCTAGACACTATTTTATAATTTTCACAATTTTTATATTATGATTAAACAATTAAATTAATTATTTCATTCAATAAGTCAACGTCATTTCTCTTAAGTATATTGTTCAAGATTCTTATAAATTTATTAGTTAAATATTTTAAATAACACTTAGAAATATTACAGAAGAGAATTTATTGTTTAATTGTTGCAAATAAATTATTGGAAATATTAGATGATGTTTAAACAATTAGAATATTCAGAAGTATTATTTAAAAATTCACTTTGACTGTTTAATCGATGTACACACGATGAAGGTTCAACTTGACGGCGTCGAGAGTCTTTGGTTTTTACCTCGCAATTGCGGGTCGTTAGGAAGAAAGGAAAAACAGAAAGGATGATGGAGGGAAGATGCTCGCATCTCGAGAAACCTCTTGTGGAGAAATTGCAAACGTGTATGGAAGAAAAACGCTCGTGAGAAATTGTTCGTGTGCTCAGATAATTACGTCAATTTAAAGCTCAATATCATTTATTTTTACTTTATTCTAATTTTCTTTTTTTCTTTTAAAGTAATTACAATTTATTTATAACGATAAAAATAGCTTAAGTAATCATATTTTACGGTGTGTGATTTCGGTACACTTAATCGAACATAGTTCAGAACAAAGGTAATTTTCCATCTCTAGAATTTTACCGCTTGGTTTCACCGAGGGAGAGAGAGAGAGAGAGAGAGAGAGAGAGAGAGAGAGAGAAAGTCCTCTGAGATTTCGTAGCGCAATTTTGATTTTCTTTCTCTTTTTTTAATTTCGCTGCTTCGTAGCGAGGAATTCTACTCGGCGGAGCTTATTGAAACGATAGAAATTGAAGCACCGAAAGTTACATTAAAGCGAAAGAAGGGCAAACGAGCGAGAGGCAGAATTAACCGTGCTGCAACTTTTTAGTGTGCTGTAACTAGGAACAGGTTAAGCTAATGAGAGTTTGGAAAAAATTGCGGACGTATCGTTTCGTTCGAGCTGCTGTAATTTCGCTGGTGTGGTAGCGAAGTTCGTAGCGAGTGAAGTTCATTAATTTAGCGAACGAGACAAATTTCTATTCATATTCTATTCCTTTAGATTTACAGCGACAATTTTCGTACGTCTTTTCATATCTCTTCTTACTTTATCCTACCGATGAATATCTAAGTACGATGATGAAATGAAGAAGAAATTGAAATCCATTGAGCTCGTTCTACTGATTCTAAGCAAACAAAGAAACATAACATTTTCGTAGAATTTTGCACAAATTTTTGTGTTTCTGTAAGCAAAGATAATTACCAATTTTTAGTTTCTATTCAGATTCTATTTTTCAAATAATTCCAAAACGACAATCTTCATATTTCAAAATAACACAAATTTCGTGTTTCTGCGAGGAAAGAAAACTACAATTCTAAATCTACGGCTGAAAAGTTAACTCTCTCTCTCTCTCTCTCTCTCTCTCTCTCTCTCTCTCTCTCTCTCTCTCTCGTGAAAATATAAAGTTGCACAAACATCAGCAGTCCAATTGTCGGCGAATCAGTCGGCAATTGTATCGTTCAGCTAGAATCGTTCCATAATGAATTGAGCAACCAAGAGGATAATTATATAATCAGAGGCTCAACTCGAGGGATTCGCATCAGCAAGAGACAAGTGGAGAGACGCTCGCTCGTTAGAGGGGAACAGACGCAAGAGACGACGACGCGTATCGTCTTAAGAAAATCGTCGCGCGCGCGGTTAATAGGCTGCTCGGCATAGTCGAACGCGATACAGAGAGAGTTCGAGTTCGAGTTCGCTGTCTAATTCTTGCCAACGCCATTATCCATTGTACGGAGAAGTCGGCTAATGTCTATCCTAAATGGATTAACCTGCAGTGTCAAGCTAAACGACGATATAATACCCAGCGAATTTCTGCAAATCGGTTTAACTTCGCGCAGCCGATCCACAAAGCGGAGCTAACTGTCTGGGCGTGCGTAATATACGCCCAAACGAAAACAAAAATTCCATCGTTATATTTCATCGCGCTTTCGCGTTTTTTTTTTTTTTTCTCTCTCTTTTTTTCAATCGAATCTGTAACACGTAATTGGAATCCTTGGTAATTGAAAGAAATAGTGGGAAATTGGAAACTTTGCAAAACGACAACTCGATTTTAGTAGAATGGACAATCTTTCGAGTGTATAATTGTAGGATTCTCGGACGAGACCCCTTATTTGTAGGAATCCTAGCTTGAGATCCCAATTTGTACGAATTTTGTTACAGGATAGTTGTTTATTATAGGTTAAATAAAAAACAATTCGTTTAATGATGATTATAATGATTAACTCGCGACTCTCAATTCACTCTCTTCTCTCTTGCGCGGCTCGCTCACTCTGCTCTCTCTGACGTCTCGACACTCGCTGTTCTCTTTGGCTACTCGATACTCACTCTCTTCTCTTTGGCTTATCAATACTCATTGTGTTCTTTTCGACTTCTAGATACTCAATGCCTTCTTCATCTGCCCAAAGATTCGTCATTCATCCATACATACACACATATAACCAACAAACGCATCCATACCTTAGTGTCATAAACGCTAGGCCTGAAGGACTCGCCATAAAACGATCCCAAATCCAGGCCTAACTTTCTCTACAGTTTATGGCACTTGGGACATCTGATTGCGATTGTTGGGGAAAGTTCTGGGCCCTTTCCCAAAATTTGCCTATCCCACGCTATCTTCGTCGTTTTTATACGTTATTTCAGGATCTTCTTCATAGATGGCTAGGTAGTTCGAAACAGTACTTGCAGTCGAAAAAGCATACTGTCAGTTACATATAGGCATCGTCGTGGCTGCAGAAACCAAGATCATACTCCACAGGATCATTTCTGTAGTGGATCTTACTCCGTTCTAAACCAAAGGACGAGTTAATGCAGCCACGATGAGGAGTTTTTGGCACCTTTTCCTGAGCGTGAGGCAGACTCGGGAGATTGACTTTGGTTTTAATCTCTCAGTCATCGATGATCGTTCAGTCCTTGCACTTGGTGCAAGGATGAGGGGAAAGGTGCGTTCTGAGTGGTCTATTTTTGTTTAAATATCAAACACACAGTCTCTCTTATAAATACGATTGTGAAACAACTGAGTAGTACTAACGTGGGAAAAAATTAAACGAAATTTAAACCCACGTGGTGTTTATTAATATTTATGTAATTAGTAGCCGTAAACAATCCCAAGTCCCAGGTCTAACTTTCTCTACAGTTTATGGTACATCACTTGGGACATCTGAGTGCAATTGTTGGGCACTTGGAAAAGTTCTGGCCCTTTTTCCAAAATATTTGCCCATTCCACATAAATCTATCTTTGTCGTTTTTATACGTTATTTCAGGATCTTCTTCATAGATGGCTAGGTAGTTCGAAACAGTACTTGCAGTCGAAAAAGCATACTGCCAGTTACATATAGGCATCGTCGTGGCTGCAGAAACCAAGATCATACTCCACAGGATCATTTCTGTAGTGGATCTTACTCCGTTCTAAACCAAAGGACGAGTTAATGCAGCCACGATGAGGAGTTTTTGGCACCTTTCCCTGAGCGTGAGGCAGACTCGGGAGATTGACTTTGGTTTCAATCTCTCGGTCATCGATGATCGTTCAGTCCTTGCACTTGGTGCAAGGATGAGGGGGAAGGTGCGTTCTGAGTGGTCTATTTTTGTTTAAATATCAAACACACAGTCTCTCTTATAAATACGATTGTGAAACAACTGAGTAGTCTTATCGTGGGAAAAAATTAAACGAATTTCAAACCCACGTGGTGTTTATTAATATTTAAGTAATTAGTAGGATACCTGCACGCTGTCACGACTCGCTACTCTCTATTTTACCCTAAAATCTTGTTCTTCATACATACTTCACACGCATACACATAGAACTGTATTTTAGGCAAACAAATTAGACAAGATTCTCTCTTTTAGGCCGCGCAGGAAGAAATTTCGAATAATGAGAATTCTTCATCCCACACAATTGGAAAAATTAACAAATACAACGACGAATGTCTGCGAATATAAATTTTCTTTTCAGCCACTTGCGCTGGCAACTGATTGCGGACCACAACGAGTAACCGAACCGTATACAATAATTCGTTGCTTTCTTTTCGAAGTCGTCGGTATGATATCACTGTATAGATATTATTGAGAAATAATAAATTTATATTATATTACTCATTTTGCCTGGGTTATGCTTAAATATACTTAAAACTGAGAAAATATTGCAATTTTGGGACAAAAAATTCTCGACATGCGTAGCACGTCATTCCAACGCAAGTGGTTAATTTTGTCGGAGGCATCGTACGTAAGGAGAATTTTTCTTCGAACTTAATTACTTATCCTAAGCGGGCGATGAGTCCTATTCGTAGCCAGTGTCAAATTTGTTCACTCTTGATTTCTTTCCAAGTATTGAAATATTGAAATATTTGGTTCAAAAATCGATCGTGTATCGAAATAATTCATTTGGATAAATGTCTCAGAATTTTCTTAGATTTCTTGGAAGTTGAAAACAGTGAAAAAAAGGAAAACGACCCAGAGTCGACGCAATTTAAAAAAAAAACGGGAGAGTGAACAAATTTTATTTATTCGATTCACTGATAATTGATAATAGAACGTTCAACATTCGGCGACTGATTCGTTGGTAGATTTGGAGCATTAATAGCCTTTCGGGTATTAAAGAGGAGATTTTCGTGATTTTCGTACAAGGAATCACGGAGACTGGAGCAACTCGACTAATGATTCAGTGGATTCGGAGGAACGCCGAAAATCGATGAACCGAGAGAAAGTTTCGACAATGGAGGGAATATATTAGGGTATTAAAGAACATCTGCTGGAACTAGTGATTTCGTAAAATGTAGTCCTGGAAACGGTGCTTTGACGATGAAGTTGGCCAAGCTAGTTCGTTCAACTCTGCTCGACTTTTTGCTTCCAGCCAAGTGATGCTCCGAAGTTCCGCAGACTAGTGGATTGTTTCACAGTGCAAAGATGTCGAGATTGTGATTATTTCGAGAACGAGAGTTCAGTTGGATAAATGGATTTTGAGGAATATTTGTTTAACCTTTCGACGGTGAAACGAACAAAGAACGAAGAACATCAGACACAAAACGTACGTATTTCTAACGAGATGGAAATGTTCGAAATAAATATTAATAAAATATTAACAGAATAAATAACGTTAAATGATTAAATAAATATCAGATATTAATGTTCGAATTATTCCGATTTGTCATCTATTATGAAGTGACAAAGATCAGAAAACACGAGGCAACAATTCTCTCGAATTGCTGGCCCCTTTTACATTTATCCACGTTGGAAACAACTCTGAGCGAACCGATCGTTTCGAATCGAACAAGTATAATTCGCTTCCACTTGGTCGAGTGGTCCGATCTCTCTCTCTCTCTCTCTCTCTCTCTCTCTCTCACGAATCGTCGAACATCAGAGAGAAAATATCTTCTAACTCTAAGAGAGATTCGGCGCGAGTTACAGGATTAATCACGGGCATATCAAACGCATCGAACGCATCCAAAAGATATTCCATTTTAAACAAACGGAACAACTCGCTCGAGCTGGTACCAACTTCCCGCTTTCGGCGCTCGCACAAAAGCAACGGTAACCGGATTCCAGTGGAAACGAACGTTAACCGAATAAACGGAAACTTTTCAACCCGAGAGCCACGCGCGCGCGAACGAATTGGAGGCAACCATTGATTCTTCCCATGGAAGAAAAAAAAGAAACACCTCGCCCCTGAGGGTTTCAACTCGCGTTTCAACGCCTCCGCTTGCCGCGATCTGTCGCCACGGATCACTCCCGACACCTCCGGGGTGTTTCCGTTTCCGTTTCGAGCAAAGGAATTCGCGAAAATTCGAAATACGACGGCGAGCATCTCGACGAATCCGTTGATATATGGGAGCAGGGCGACATCGCGAATCAGGTTGGGGGAGGGTGGAAAATGGCGAGAAAGGGAAGCTCGTACCTTCGGAAACAGGAAGAAGAGGGTTCCGTTGGAATTTTTCTTCCGTTTCTTCGTTTCTCGCCGGGCTCTCACGGGCAGCGTGATTTACAGACCCGTCCCGAATCTCTGGACGACAGCGGAAATTTAAGGTCCGGCCGTCTCGCTGGCCCGGACGATCCAACGATCTGTTTGGCAAAAAGTGGAAAAACGCGAAAACAGGTCCGGTTTTTCTACTTCGACTGCGGCCAACTTTCCTCGTTTCTCCCCTCGTCGCTTCACCACCCGAAGGATTCTCCGATCATTTTTTTTCCGTGGGGAGAAGAATTTTTCTTTCGTCCCTTTGGAAGGACTTTCTTCTTTTTTCTTTCTTTTTTTTCTTTTTTTTTTTTTGTCGTGGTTTCGACAGCCGGCGAAATGAGATTTTATCCTTGATCGTGAATTTCCCAATCATTCGTCGGGAAATGATACTTGCCTCGATTATCGAAGATGAGATTTCTCATCAACGCACAAGTAGAGCAACGTACTTTTATTCGGGGAGATCTTGAACCTCTTGACTGTCGCTGTTGGATTTTATACCTTCGACGTGAATTGATTTAATAGCTTGAACTCTTGTTACACGAGGAAGTAGATTGTAGTCTCTGTTACGTGTTATACCGAGGGAGTAACGAGTCTTTTATTCCATCATTTCCATGCCCGTGTCATCGTTTCCCGATACTTGCTGAATCCGACGGTTTTCCGCTCGCGTTTCGCGGATCTACGTGTCTCTCGTCCTCGTCGAATTTCAGTCGTTCGAACGAAAAATTCGGAAACGTTCGTCGACTTTAATACCGCCGACTCCGATTGATTTAATCTCTGCTCCTGATCTCGAACACCGAGGCATCGCGTTGCTTGCTTTGTGAAAGAAGAGAGATTTATTTACACTTTTGTTCCACCGTGGAACAACGTGGAACGAAGTTGAAATGAAAAGATCACGAGAATCCTTCTCCTGGAGGATTAAATAACAGACGAGTTGGAGAAGCATCGCGTAATGTAACTTGAGCTTTCGAAATATTCGTCGCGATGCTCGTCGTTACGAGTGCACTGTTGTCCTTAATTAAAGCCGATTATCTACCTTCTCTGAGAACAAAAACAGAAAAAAGAAAAGAGAAAGAAAGGAAGGAAGGAAGGAAGAAAGAAAGAATGAAAAGAATGAGAGTGGAACGAATCGAGGCAGGGATAACTTCGTTTGTTACGCTTTCACGACAATGTGAATCTTTTCATCTGCTTGTTACCGCGTTCGCGCTGTTAATCTTAATCTGGCGAAGATGAAAATGAAGCTGCAGTCCGGGTGAATCGAGTGGGAAACTTGGACAAATGTTAGTTCCGTGGTGTGAGGGAAGTTTCCGCCGGATCTAAAATTTATTTCATCGCGTGCGGGGTTACTAAAATAGCCCTGAAAAAACGTAGATTCCATTTTCCTCCTCCTCTGTCTGCTTCAGAACGCTCGGCGTTCAATTTTTGCATTTCGTTTCATTTATATTTAAATTTAAAATCTTCTGTGCAACCGAAGGGTTGTTTCATACATACGTGAAAATTCCGTCATCTTTTTCGAAGTTTCGAATTGACGAAGATCAACGTGCGCTTTTCGCGCGTGAATTCTCTTTCCAAAATGTCTGACCAATTTTTCTGTACTTTCGTATAAAAATGATTCGCGACAACTGCGAATCTGACGAGCCGTTGCGAAGATTTACATAAAAATCGGATCGCTAACATACTGACACTCCGACGCAAGTTCAACAATTTCTTTTTTTTTCTCGTCGAAAACTTACTTTCTTCTTCTTCTTCTTCTTCTTCTTCTTCTTCTTCGTCTCGCAGTTTCCACTCGAGAATAAAAGCTCTCGAACAGCTAATCTTCCGAAGTACTACTTGAATTCATTCCTCCTATCCTCGTTACTTATTTTTTAATACTAGATAATAATACCAACGTTCTTCTTGCAGGTAATATCGCACATTCTTGTCGCAAGGTAATAATGGTTCTCTGATGATAAGAAAATTAAAACGAAAAAAAAAAAAGGAGAAGAAAGAAAGAGAGGAAAGAAGGGATTCTCGCAGTAACAAATTCTAAAGTTTCGCTGAAAAAGCTGAACTTTTGAACTCGTTTACCTTCCGCCCCCCCTTTCTCTTTTCTCAGCTTTCTTTAATCTGATTTGGCAGGCTGGATGGTTATCTCGTTTGCTTCGGTTAATTTACAGAGTATACCCCAAGTTTGTAGACTTTCGTTTAATTCTTCAAATGTTTGATTTCCTGGTTGGTTTACGTGCGGGCGACTCTCGCGGGGAAAGCAAGTGTCACGATTGTTCAGATATCGCTGAACAATCGGTCTTTGTTTATAGAGAGGAAGCAATGAATTCGTCATATCATAAAATTACTTTCAAGTAATAGTATTAATAGATTAAATGACTGAACTGATAGCTTCTTTGAGTACGAATTATATTTCTGTAACGTTGTTATTGAATGACCGAGAGATAATTGTATTTCAATTTTTAAGATGCGTGCAACGTTCTAATTGACCAAAGTATCATATCTATAATCTTGCAATTTTTATTGCGTTACTATCTCCGCAGGTTGTATTCAACTACGTTTTCTTAAAAAAGTCTCAAATTCTGAATAAATCGTCTTATAAGTTTCTGAGGACATCACATTTCGCACAATCGATGTTCAAAACTTTGT